GACCAGGATTGCCCACCCCTGCTCTAAAGCTTGCAGGGATTCTTTACACACTTTTGAAAGACAATGAATGTTTTATGCATTGCCCCGATTTAAATAAAATATACAAAATAAATGCAAAAATAATAAATAAATTTATAATACTTAATCAACAACATAATGGAAAGTTGAAATTCAGTGGCTGAGGCTTTTTGGTCAAATGTGTGTGTGAATGGTCAGATATATGTATAAAAAACACAAAACAAAACACCATTTTATTTTCTTTAGGTCCATATATTTTATGGCCAAACATTTTAATTCCCCATTAGGACAAACACATTTTARGCTGTTCAGCACAAACTGATTTGATCATAATTTGGTCTCGTAGCACCAGATAAAAACCTAAAGACTGTATGAAGCTTGAATCTATCACATCGGTTTTAGTTTTACACCCCCTGACCTTTTGTTCCCTGTGTCTCTAAAGGTCAGGTCATATCAATAAACCTTGAAGTCACCTAATGTTACTTTGGGGATTTAGATTCAATTTGTGGCTCATGGTCAGTTCATGTCAGCAGCTAATGGACGGCTGAGTTTTATGGTTAGATTTGTGGTCAAAATAAATAAATAAACAAATAAAAATACTATTAGAATTAAGTTTGCAGTACTCTCAATTTATGATAATTTGTGTAGTTGGCACTGTGGCAAGCAGATTTATCATGTAATATTGAGACAAGCTTTTCAAAGCAGATGATAGATAGATAGATAGATAGATAGATAGATAGATAGATAGATAGATAGATAGATAGATAGATAGATAGATAGATAGATAGATAGATGGATAGAGTAATGTTAGAAATACGTAATGTGAGTAGTCACAAGTTTTATTGAATATAACAAAATAAAACATACAGCTCACAAAATGACACATGACAGGTAGCAGAAAATCACAAAATCATTTATTGATACAATTTGCCAGCAAAACCTTCCATCTCCAAAAATATCGAAACAGAATTAAAAGTGGGCCAATTATGAAAAACTGATACTTAATTTAAGTTTTGAAGTTGATATTCTTGCCCCCAAAATACCTGAAAACTATATGTTATGAAAAATATTACTAAACTACAAGAGTAAGACGATTACTTCTCACATTACTGTTGCTGTCTGTAAAAACAAAAACAAACAACATAAAAGAAGCTAAATCTAGCTTTGTCCCTTTTCATATTTTCTTTATCACTTAGTGTACCTCCATTGATTTCATGATGGGAGGAGTAGGGATTAATTCTTCATTGTTTGTTCACAGAATGTTAACTATAAGAAATTTCAAAGAATAATAAGCTTTTTCAAACTGAAGAAGGAAGACTAACATTTTTTTTAAACTTTTATTTCAACAGGAGCTCAATATTTCTTTTTTAAGGGAGGTCTGGACCTGAATGCTGCTTAAAAATGCACATTTAAATGTCAAAAATATAGATTCACAATTAAAATTGAGAAATTTTTTGCTAAAAAATATTTTTTTTAAACTTTTATTTCAACAGGAGCTCAATATTTCTTTTTTAAGGGAGGTCTGGACCTGAATGCTGCTTAAACATGCACATTTAAATGTCAAAAATATAGATTCACAATTAAAATTGAGAAATTTTTTGCTAAAAAATGTTATTATTTAACTAATATTTTATTAAAAANAAATGTATGTTGGAGCCTATTAATTATTTAAATGACATTCTTGTTATATGTAGAATTATGTAGATTATTATTATTTTAAAATAACCCTAGTGATTTTTATAGAAAAAAACATTGTGATTTTTGTTTAGGACCCTCCTCCTCCTTGGGCCAACTGTGATTAATGAGAAAATGACACCTGGGTTGGGTGTCTGAACCATGGTGGAAGGAGTGAGGAGTGAAACAGTTTTTGTACCACTAAATAACTTTTTTTTTTACTTGGATTTTGTTGGAAGTCAACTGGAGAATATTTCTGTTTATTTTTTAATTTTTGAAAGTAAAGTCAGAACATTTTTGGTTGGAAAAGGAAAACCCCTCCGAGTGCTTTTTTTATTTGGTGCGTCGAGAACCTCCTCCTAGGCAATACTCTGACATTGTTGGACAATATCTGAATGCCAGAGCTACCGAAACAAGAACAAAAACTTCACTGAAGACTCGAAGGAAAGCGCAAAGTTTGTGGATGTGGATTACAATAAGCGGGATGTTTATGGATGAACTAAACTGAAATAGAAGAAATTTGTGTGATTATTTGTGACGATGTCTGACACTTCTGAGACCGCAGCTGTGACAGATCTGTTAAAGGAGCGCAGATGTGAGAAATAGTGATGAAGTCAACGGCATGTTTGAAGTGTTTAAAGAAGCTGTGGAAGAATTTGGAAGAGTTCTTATCAAAGGAGGAAAAGGAAAATGATTATTCTGACTGGTATGAACCCAGAATAACTAACTTGAGTTATTTCATTAAAGATGTTGAAGCATGGAAAAGAGAAATTGCACAATCAAAAATTGGACCATTGGACGGCATATCAAATGTTTCACGCAAATCAAAGTCTTGTACATCAACCTCAGTCTCTTCAGAGTTAAAAAAAGGCCAAAGCAGAACAGGCTGCTGCAATGGCACGAGCTGCTGCATTGAAACAAAAACATACTTTGCAAATGGAGGAAACAAAACTGAAGTCAAAGATGGAGCAAATGGAACTAGAAGCAGATCTTGCAGCAACAACAGCAAAAATAAAAGTTCTCCAAGGTGAAGATCAGAAAGCTCTGGGTGACGGGATGGATGAATATTATCACTCTCACTATGAACCAGAAGCTGTGAAAAAGGCTGCTCAAGTGCTGAGACCATAAGGGGGCGGAGCTTAGAGCACGTGTATCAGCACGCTGATGAAAGAAGGAAGAGAAGAAAAGGAAGGAGCCCAGTTACTGAGCACATTTGTGCAGTTTGAGTTACCATTTGCAGTTTGTTGTTACCCTTTTATTTTCGATGTGTGTGCGTGGAATACAAGTAAGTGATGTTAGAAAGTTAAGAATATTGTTTATGCATCTGAATATTTAAGTTTTAGNGCCTGCCATATTATGTATAACCACTAGAGGTCGCTGGTTGTCCTCATTGTAGCACCGTCGCCACCTCCCGCCCCTCACTGTACCGGCTCCCCGGCCGCAGCATCACTGAGCGGGGCGGGGCTCCGGYTCCCATTGGCTGGTGCTGCTACACAGACTGTGGGACCACAGCCAGGGTGAGAGAGGGTTTCCAAGCTCCGTGGTCCTTTCATCCTGCAGAAGCCCCACGTTTCCAAACATTTTAAAGCAGACTGTAAGGTTTTTGTTTTGTTTTTCCCCCTGGCCCTTTCCTCAGAACAGCACTGAACCCCCGTGGTGTTCCCACCGGAGAGGAAGATGCGCCCAGCCGGGAGCGGACACATTGTCCGGACCCCGCGGGAGGAGGAGGAGGAAGAGGAGAGGAGCACGTTGTTGTAACCGGGAGACACGCACAGGCTGCTGCGGCGGCGGCACCACCTGACACGCTTCTCCTCGTTTCGCGTTGTTCTCCTCCTCGGGGTGTCTGACGCTCCTCTGACGTGTTGACCGACTTCTTTGTCTTTGTTTGGATTCAGTCTTCAGCAAAGATGAGCGAAGAGGTGTCAGAGGTTCCTAAAGAGCTCCTGGGTAAGACCAGACCAGGGTTGGTTTGAATTTGTAGCCATGTGTCCGGACTGCAACAACTGCGCACTGGCTCCATGTGAGCCCAGCCTGAGCCTCTGTGGCATTATCTCTGCTTTTACAGCCTTTCTGTTGTTAATGAAGGAAACTTCACTAAAACACATGACTTCAGTGGTTTCCTCTGTCAGTGTGTGAAGGATTTTTTCCTCCACAGGAACCCTGGACTGCTCATTTTATCCTGAAGTTTTAACATTTCATAGTCTCCTTTTACCTATTTTTCATTTTTACAGCAGAACTTTATTGAAATTGTTGAAAAATGTTGATCATTCATCTGTTTATGTAGAAATCTGATTGATGGTATTTTGTGAGAGTTATCCTGTTTGTTGGCTCTAACAAAGTGAGAGCTGGAAAAAAACTACAGTGGTGAAATGTGGCATACCTTGTAGAAAGTCTGGGCAGAAGAAAAATACTTGTCTCTTTATGCACAACCTGCTAATTGAGGGAAAGTGTTTAAAACAGGTCAGTTTTTCTGTGAGATTTTAGACTGTTATTGGGATAAAAACATTCATAATATTGGCAGTGATCAATACGAGTCGTGTAAATACTGGAGCTGCCATAAGAATTTGAAACACTGGCGTGAACATTCATGTATGACTATAGGTGGCTCAGTGTTTGTTAGCTGTCTTAACTATCTCATGAACCAGTGGATGAATTTTGACCAAACTCTAAGAGTCAAGATGGCCATTATTGATAACTAACTTAGCAAACATAAAAATAAGATCTTTGTCTTTAAATTTTGACAAGGMAGATGATGGACCATGTGCAGTCTGTTAAGGAGTAGGTTGATCTCGGTTTGTGGTGTCCAATGTTTTAGCTGTTTCTCTGCACTTCAGCTTGTCTTCATGTTCTTCATAAGCCTGTTAACTACTAACGCCTTCAAACCAGTGCCCTTTGAGGACCAGGACTGGGCACCACTGATATAGGTAAWTGCTTGTTGAAGGCCCGTTTGTATTAATTTTTAAGTAAAAAAAAAGTATCTTATAAGAGTCATAGGGTCTTTGCTAGATTGGCTCATGAGATGTTTTAGTTATTAAATGGAGATGAAATTGTCTGGGTACCTACCACCTCTATCCAAGTTGGCACAATTTATACTTGTTAGTGTGTTTGAGAGTGAAAGCAGTGTCTCGTCCACCGAAATATCTGTTACGTCTTCAAATTTGAAGTTAGCGCACTGAGGGCATCTTTACACAGAAATGAGGTGTCACCAAATTGAAGATGGCGTGGGACAATCAAACAGGGCGTCAGAACAACGCCACAACACGCCTGCAAGCTGAGTTCCTGAAGAGCTGGCTCTCCTGTGCTGAGTCATGCATTTGTGGAGAGGCTGCTTAGTTTCTCTAATAAAGTGGTCTGAACATTCCTCACTGCACTGAACTGCAGCCACGATAGATACTCCAGCAACATGGGATGACAATGTTTTTGCACTTTTCTTGTATATCCTGTTCTGTTCGGTGGCACGTTTTCTAGATTTCCTCGCTGACTTGAGAAAAACCCAGTTAGACTATTTCATATTAATATAATGTATCATAACTTTTCCTTTAAATCAGGGGTGGGCAGTCCTGGTCCTTGAGGGCCGCAGCCCTGCATGTTTTACTTTTTTCTCTGCTCGAACACAC